TATGGAAAGGAGCAAAATGAGTGAGGTGCTAACCTAGGCTGAGGGGGCAAGGAAGTCCTCCCCGGGGTGGTGACTAACATCTGAAGGATGAGCGGGAGTGGGCCAGGTGAAGAGGGCAAGGAATAGAGGGAAGAGTGTTTCTGGAGAGGGAACAGCACGTACAAATCCCAGAGGTCAGAAGAACATGGCTCTTTAAGGAACAGCAAGGAGGACTGTGTGGCGGGAGCAGAGGGATGGAGGGAGAAGGGCAGGGAGTGGAGAAGGGAGAAAAGGACTTGGGGAGAGAATGTAGAGCGAAAAGAAAGGTTCGCTGAGACTTCAAGTTGGTAAACGCCAGCAATTAAAGCTATAGGCGGTCTTGGAAGACTCGAGAAGGGAGTTTCAAGGAAGTAGGAAGTAGCCAACACTGGCCGGTGAGGCCAAGAAGTGAATCAAGATAAGGACTTGCATTTGGCAGCTCGGGGGTCATCGCTGGAGACCCTTGTGGGGGGGGGGGTCATCGCTGGAGACCCTCGTGGAAACAATTGGGTTGGGACGATGGAGGTGGAGAGCAGAATGCAGAGGGCTGGGGAGAGATTAAGAGGTGAGGAGACAGAGACACTGAGGGGAGGAGACCTCCGCTTGGAGAGGTTTGGCGGTGAAGAGGAGAGGGAGAGTCACGAGACTGGGCCAGAAGGTGGGGCGCAGGGGAGAGTCTCAAGCCTGTTTGTCCCCCCGAGAGCCTGGCTTCTTAATAAATGTTTATTACACTGAGCCACACTGATGGGGAACTTGGAGATACCGGAGCCGGACCATTGACAGCATTAGGCCCAGAGGAGCCGGTGTGGAGAGCTGGAGTCACATCTTGAGAGGATAGACTGGCATCTCCTTCCTTCAAATGAGTGGCAAGAGGGAAGAAGAGCCCTTAGGAGGTGGGGTGTGGATGGTGGGTAGGGGATGGAAGGGGGCTTTTGTGTAGATAATAGGGTCAGGAGATGAAGGACTTGCATGCTTTTATTCTTCTCAGAGGACTTTGGGTTTAGCCCTGACTCTAGTCTATGACTTTCTCCAGAAACGCATCTCGCCTACTTAGTACTTGGTGGGCCCTTCCCAACTTGCTGTTTTGACTTGTGTGGGCCATGGAACAAGCTGTGGGCTCGCTGCCATTCTGTCTGAGGTCCACGTATGTCGGTTGTGGAGAATATTAGCAAGGGAGGCACCATCTCCTTTGAGGAACAGTAGAGAGACAGGAACCTGCAATCAGTGTGCACACATTTTAAAGAGAGGTTAACACAGGTAACCACCAGGACCTTCCAGGACCACCCGGGCCGAGAAACCAGCTTTACCACAACAGCCCGCCGAACACCTCTCCGTTCTTCCAAACGGCGGCCCATTTTCTCCGCAGCGCGCTGCAGGGGGATGCGGATCCGTGATGTCAAACCCTCTGAACCCTGCGAGGGAGATTGGATCGGTCCCCTTTTACCGATGAGGAAAGCATGACTCCAAGGGGTGAGTGACCGGTAGGGCCCATCGGAACCTGGGTCAGACCGAGCGCAGAGCCCACCAGTGGTTTTGAGCCTGGCTGGGGGTGGGGGTGGGGGTTCTGTTCGCCTGGGCCTTTCCCACATGGGGCTTCGAGGTAAGCTTCGTGACAGCAAATTCTATGGAGGAAAAAAAGTTTGAAAGCCAGTGCTCCCCACAGGGTTCTTTGAACTTCTCAGCTGAAGCCTGACTTTTCTTGAAGCGTTTCGTTTAGCCAGAATGGCTCTGCTTGCGTGATGCTCCCCTGCCCGGCGCCCCTCACCCCCTACCCGCTAAGCCCCTGTTGTCGCCCTGCTCCCTGACACATCCCTTCTCCACGTGACTGCCAGAGGGACTCCTCTAGAATCCCATCAGGTTACTCCTCTGCTTAGAAACCTTCTCTGGCTCCCTGCTACCTTTAGGTTAAAATCTCCGTTCCTCTTTTAGCCTCATCTATGAGACCCTTAGTGATCTGAGCCCCCATCCACTTCTCCAGCTTTGCCCTTCATCACTCCCCAGCTCCCACCTTCCTGCCAAACCGGCTGACTTACATTTCCTGGTACTTGCTCTCTTCTCCGGGACAGACCAGACCAGACATACCGTACTCCCGGCCGCCCTGCCAGGAAGCCCCTCCCCTTCTCCACGGACCAACTCCCACTCACCCCTAGAGCCTCAGATCAGGCCTTACCTTCCTCCCTGGAAAGCCTTCCCTGCATCTCTCCCCCGGGTCAGGCCCCGCCCTGGTGCAGCACCCCCCCCCCACCCAACTGCCATGCTCACCTGGCACAGCCCTGCTTCTGTCACCTTTGCTTGGCACTTGCTCCACTAGAAAGCAGATTTGCATCATCTGCCTAACTCCGTTTTGCTCCCCTGGAAAGCAGTTTCTTAGGGAATTTGTTCTTTCTCTTGGGGTAAGCATACCAGTCTTGCCTCAAAAAGCATACCAGAAATGCCAATGGCTTGATGTTAGGCATGGAGAGTTTTCAGCATGGGAGTTTGTCCCCTGCAGCCAAACCTCAATTTTACATGGAGGAGGTAGGCTAGGGACTATCACATGATGAGAAAAATCTGTGGGGAAGAATAGCTGACTGCAGGAGAAACGACAGAAAGCGCTTTCGAACCTTCCAGCTGACTTGGTTTTCTTGTTGGAAAAAGCAGGGCAGATGCTTGTCTCCGGTCCCCAGATCTGCTACTAGTTAAGATGCTTAGGTTCAGACTTTTCCCGTGAAGAGGGGACTACCGTTCTAAGTGTCCTCTGAATGTTGGGCAAAGGCACAAGCCACTCTTCCCTCCAAGCCAGGAGCCCGCAGACCCAGCCATTGGGCAGGAAGGCCCTGTCCCGGGAGTCTTCACCAAGCCCCACCAGCCTTGGCAGCTGTCAAGGGCGACTGTGGAGCAGAACCTGCAGCCCTGCATCTATAAAATGGGCATGTGCGGCGGGGGGGGGGGGGGGGGGGGGGGGGGGGGGGGGGGGGGCGCGGCGCCTGGGTGGCTCAGTCGGGTAAGCTTAAGCGTCTGACTTCCAATCAGGTCGTGATCTTGGGGTCCTGGGAGGGAGCCCTGCTCAGCGGGGAGTCTGCTTTTCCCTCTTCCTCTGCCCCTCCCCGCTGGCTCGTGCTCTCTGTCTCTCAAATAAATAAATTCTTTAAAAAAAAACTATAAAATGGGCACAGGGATGGAGGGAGTTATGCCAGATGCTGATGCCAACTGCCAGAATCCAGGAACCATTCGCCTTCCACCTTTCAAACATTGAAGAAGTCCATTGAGAACAAAAAGTTATTGCTACATCACACTGTGTAAATTTGTTTTAAGGTGTAGTTCCTAGAAACATGTGACAGGCTGAAAACATTGATAGGGAGGGTTTGGATCATTTCAGGGATGAGAAGAACCTAATGGGTTATTAAGGGAAGATCGGAACATTTCTAGCACAGAGGAGGTAATGGGGGGGGGGGCAAACGGGACCGCCAGGCGGAGATGGAAACCTGTATGGATGAGTTCAGGGTAGTGTTTCTGGGCTTTCTGTGTTTGGTGATGACTGTTTCTCCCTGGTGTTCAAGGGCAGGGAGGGGAGGGCTGGGGATGCAACGGTCCATTGCAAGGGCGGCCCAAGCTTCTAGGGATACAGTGCTATTTTGAAAATGCACTGTTCTCTGGGGCGCCCGGGTGGCTCAGTCGGTTAAACGTCTGCCTTCGGCTCAGGTCATGATCCCAGCGTCCTGGGATTGAGCCCCGATTCAGGCTCCCTGCTCAGGAGTCTGCTTCTCCCTCTCCCTCTGCTCCTCCCCCTGCCAGTGCACGCTCTCTCTCTCTCTCTCTCTCTCTTGCTCATTCTCTCTCTCATGTAAATAAATAAAATCTAAAAAAAAAAAAAAATGCAAATGCACTGTTCTCTAAGGCAGCATGGACCCCTAGCCACCAACTGCTTTCCCTCCTCTCAGCCAAAGTCAACCCTCCTATATTCTACTGGCTTCATACAATTTCTGAATGGGAGCCAGTTTCCAAACTACAACTTATGTATTAGATGTAATTAAAAAGCAATGCCGAGGATTAAAGCCCCGTCTTGGAAAAAGTGTCAATGGGTGTGTCTCCCAGGAGGGCAGAAGTCAAGGTAAATTACACGACTCACCACAAAACATCAGAAATGTACATTTGGAGATTTTTCCCTTTTACCACCCCTCTGCCCCCTACAGACAACTCGTCTAGGATGAGACTTGGGCCAGAAGTGGGACCTAGCTGCCAAAAGAGTCCGGGAGACAGGCAAACTGTGTGTCTCCACTCAGAACCAAGGTGAATGTAGCTCCTTCCAGCGCCCGACTTGGCCATTTGCTGTGGGAACAAGGTCCAGAGTCTCCCGGATCACTAGCTCATGGCCATGGGTTGGTGATTCCCCGCGAATCACCCGCGAATGTAGGAAGCTTCCCGCTCTCAGTGGTTAATGAAAAAAAAAAAAAAGTCACTCAAAGGACAGCTTTGTCATGTGAAAGGAAAACATACCCGGCTTTAATATGCTTAAGAAGTCATCCGTGATACATTAGAAAAAGTACCGGTAAAGTTTGGATGTCTCAGGAGCAGTTTGGGGGGGGGGGAGGGTGACTGCCCGCAGAAACAGCCGAGTCTAGCCTTCAGTTAGGAGCTTCCTCTGTATCAGCGGGTTCCAGTCTTAACTCATTCTTCTAGCAAGTGCTTCCCAATACACGCAGAGCTTCTGCCTGCCCAGAAATGGCTTCTGGAAGCCTAACTTTTCCTCTCCCAAGCAGGACCACACTCCTGCCCCTAACTCCTTAGTCCCCTAGTTTTGGGGACTAGTTTTGCGCCAGGACAGCTTTGTTCTTTGCGCTCTCTCTCGGTGAGGGTTTCCCGGTCCCCCGGTCTCCTGGCCGGTGGCTGTAGGAGACCCGGGACAGGTACCTGCGACAAACCTGGAGGTGGTCCGCTGCCTGCAGGCCCAGCGCACTCGGCTGCGGCCGGAGCTGCCGCCCCTTCGGGTGGGGCCCGAGACCACCCGAGACCGAGGCCTCGACCGCAGCGTCGCGATCCGTCCGCGCTCTCCAGTCTCTGTCGCCCTCAACGGTCCTGGAAGAAGGGGAACATCTGGCGGAGGAGGCCCTGAATTTGCGCCACCCGGCTGCCGGTGTAGCTCTTCTCCTTGCCGGGCGACGCCCCCGCTCTCGCCGGGGCCTCCACGGAGGTCGTGCCCACCGAGCTCGGGGTCTGTCGCAGCGCCCGGGCGGCGGCGCCGCTGCTGTTGTTGTTGGCGTTGATCCGCTCGCAGCCGCCCGCCGTCTCCCAGTCCTCGGCCCCCGACAGCTCCCGCAGGCTCTGGGGCGCGTCGGGCCGCAGGTAGTGACAGGCCCGGTGGCCGCTGTAGTCGCGGCGCGAGGGGTCAGCCCCTAAGGCGCCCACCAGCACCTTGATGACCATGTCGTGGCCCTGCAGGGCGGCCAGGTGGAGGGGCGTGAGGCCGCCGCTGCCCGAGGCGCTCACGTCGAGCTGCAGCCCCCGGCGCTGGGCGAAGTCGTGCACCAGGATGAGCTCCTCGTGGCACCCGTGCTTGGCCAACCAGTGCAGCACCGTGTAGCCCGTGATCGGGTCGCAGCGCAGCAACAGGGCGGGCTCGGCTTCCAGCTGCTCCCACAGCACCTCCAGGCGGCCCTCGGCGGCCGCCAGGATCCACGCGTGCTCGTGGGGCTCCAGGCACAGCCCGCCGCCGCCCGGCCCGTTCGGCCCGGCCGGGCACTGCTCCTCGGCGCGCTCCTCAGCCAGCCAGCCGGCGGGGGCCGCCCCCTGCAGCCCCAGCAGCTCCCGCAGCGCTCCCCGCCGGCGGCCCGAGCCCGCTCCCGAGAGCATCAGCGAGCCGTGGAGGAGGGGGTCCCGGGAGGCGGCGGTGTGGCCCCGGTACCTGCCCAGGGTGCCGGCGTCCACTCTCCAGGGGCGGGGCTGCAGGGCGCTCCGCGGGCTCAGCGCGGTGGCGGCGAGGGAGGCCTTGGGCCCCGGGCTCGCGGGCCCCCGGGGCTCGGCCATGGTCTTGCCGCCGCCGCCGCGGCGCTTCCAGTGTCGAGCGTTCGCTGCCCTTCCCGGGCCCCTCCGGGAGAGGAACTGGCGCTGGCGTTGGGGAAGGAAGCGGCTTGAGCAATTGGGCTCTGGGAGGGAGGGAGCAAAGGAGGGGAGAGGGAGGGAGAGAGCCAGCGAGCCGAGGGAGGGCCTCGGCGCGGGAGGTGGGGGGCGTGGAGGGGTGGGAGCTCCGGGCCCGGGCCCGGGGGCCAGCCCCTCTAGCGCCCCGCGGGGACCGCCGCCACCTCCGCGTCCCCGGGTGGCGGGCGGCCCCGCCTCAAACGGCCAGGTGAGTGGGGGCAGCCCCGCCTCCCGCACCGCGCGCGACTGTGGGGCGGGCGCGGGGTGGGGGCGAGCGGGCCCCGAGCGCCCCAGCCGCGGGCTTCTCGGCATCCCCGCAGCTGCAGGGGTGAAGAGGCTCTAGGGCGCCCCCTCCCCGGCGGGCTGAGCTCGGCCGGCAGCCAAGGCCTCCGGGAGCGCGATCCTGGAGCTCCTGGGCGCTGGCTCCCCGCCCCCCTCCTTCGGCCTTCCCTCTTATCTTCTGCACTTTGTCCCCGAGCAGCCTTTGTCCCGCCCCTAGCATTCAGCGAGGCGGCCTGGGACTCGGGCTCCCCTGCCTTGCCCTTTGTATGGCCTTGACCCTCCCCGCAGATCCTGGAGTCGCCCGGGGTTCCTGCAGAGGAACCGAGGCAAGGATCCAGGCAGAAGTTCTTGCGGGGGAACTGGGAAAATATTCGCGCCTGGGTGGCTTAGTCATTAAGCGTCTGCCTTCGGCTCAGGTCATGATCCCAGGGTCTCGGGATCGAGCCCCGCATCGGGCTCCCTGCTCCGCGGGAAGCCTGCTTCTCCCTCTCCCGCTCCCCCTGCTTGTGTTCCCTCTCTCGCTGTGTCTCTCTCTGTCAAATAAATAAATAAAATCTTAAAAAAAAAAAAAAAAGGTGTTCCCTTCTTCCCCGCGGGTTCCCACTCGGCCCTCCGCCCTCTTCTCTTTAACCTTCCCCAAGTTGGCTTGAAGAAGCAGGCACAGGTGAATCCATCAGCTGCCGCGGGAATGCCCTGCCCTCTTCAGGGATGTGTCCCTGTTGTCTCCTCGAGGATATTTTACCTCATCCTAAGAGTGGCCTTCCCTTTGCTCTTCCTTTCCCTCAATAAGTGGTAGTTCTTGCCTCCTGCCCCCCACCATGTTAGGGAGTTCAGTCAGTGGGCGACAGGGACCCTCAGACGATTCTTGAGTCAGAGAGGGACACAGCCGTGATTAAGGTGGTGTTTGGGAGGATGATTCTGGGAGAGGCAGACAAGAAGGCAGGAGACTGTTCCAACAGTCTAGGCCAAAGGTGATGGGGGGTTCAAGCCAAGCCAGCCCACCCCACTGGGACCACCTGTGATGGAAGGTATCAGAGGCTTTCCTCCTTGGCCCTCAAATATTTTGCCCTAAATATCTTGAGCTTTCCTTCATGACAGCCTATGCATTTGTAATCAATGTTTGAACATTTATTATGCGCCGGACACTGTGCTAGATGCTTTATATATATGTTAACACTTTTAATCCTCCCAGCCACGTCAAAAGCTAAGTATTATTACTGTCCCCAGTTTGCAGAGAGGTTGAGGTCACTTGCTCAAGGTTACCCAGCAGGAAGTGGCTGAGCAGGTCTGTGTGACACCATAGCCTTTGTCCTGGCACCGAGGGACTGGCATTCAAGCCAGGCTTATCAACTGCAGATCATTCACACAAGCCCCAAATTCCAGCCCAACAGAGGGACTTGCCTTGACCTGAGCATATCTTGAAGTCGCCCTCCTCTTCTAGAATGTCCTCCCTCAGAGCTTCTGTCTCGGGACATTCTCCCTGTCCTTCAAGGTTGGCCTCAGCTTCCACCTTCTCCAGTGTGCCTCCTCTGATGACCTCAGGCCAGGGTGATTGCTCCCCCCGCCCCCCCGCCCCAGCGGGCTGGTTGTCTTCCTCCTCTGGTACCCAGCACAGACTGCCCTGTGTTGTGTTGACGCGCCAGCTAGACTCGAGACTCTTTGATGACGGTGTCATACTATCCTTGTGCCCCTAGTAGGTGCGGGAGAACCAGTTGTTGCCTTGTTCTGGTTTGGCCGCCTGGGAAACTGTGATTGTGTGTGCACATTGAGGGGGGCGCTGTGTGCGGGCGTGTTAGGGGGTGCGTCTGCAGCCAGAGCCTCCGTGCCCACTCCCACATCCCTGCCTCACACTGCACCTTCGGGACATCAATAACAGCTCCTAGATTTCATCGGTTCGGAGAAAATAAGATAGTGATCGCGTAGTTGCTTCACTGAGCCAACTAGCCAAAGCCACCTCTTGGCCTTTGCTGACTCCTCAGGGACCAGGCCCAGGCCCAGCGTGGGCCCCAAGCTTTCAGGCTTTCATTTTCAAAATGAACCCTGACTGACAAGCAGCTACTTCCGCTGCTCTGGAAACTCCCCTCCACAACCCCAAATCTGTAAACACCAAACCACACGCGTGCACACACACTTCCAGAATATGCAAACAGCTGCAGCAATATTTTTTTTTAATCAAAATGCCAGCATGGAGAATGCAGGATGGAAGAATGCTTGGACTATTAATTTCCCTCACCACTAAGCAAGCAAGTCCCTTCCCTGTCAGCACTAATAATATCTCCGGTTCCAGTCCAAAGACCGCAAAGGCAGTTGCCTGACCGGCTGCGCACACCCATGCCACACGCGCCCTCGCTTAGCTCTGTTGCCAGGGACCGAAGCCACGGCACCTCCCTAACGACCCGTTCCCTCTTTACTTAGCAAGTACTTCCTACCCGAGGCCACCAGCTGCATACACGGGTCCCCAGAGCCACAGCACCCCGTCTCTATTCCAGTAGAGAGGGTCTCTGGAATTTCAGAGCTGGGAGTGGGGTAGAGGATGCAGAAAGCAGAAGGGACAGTCGAGACCCACCCCCCCAAAATGAAGATGCCCATCGCCTTGAGGTGGCTGCTCCCTCCCAAGAGAGTGGGGCCGAAATCCCTCAAGCCCTTGGAAATAGACTCCCCCAAAGGTGCACACGGGGTGGGTATTTGCATTTCAAATGGCGATGCCTGGGGTCTCTTCCAAATAGCCTCTCTGATGTACTTTTTCGGTTTGTTTACAGATCCTGGACTATTTGAACTAGAACTTCATGTTTTGTTGGTCGTTTCTTCATTTTTCAGATGTGATTTAACTGTCAGAAGGGGTGGCAGGAAGCAGAGAAACTTAAAGCCGAAGTGTTAGGCATACATTGAAACTCAATCTCAACGAAAAGAGAGAGGGGCTCGCGTATCTTATTAGAAGTCAATGGGGAGTGATCATTGAGCTGCAAAAATGCAATTTGCACGCAACTTTTCAGGAACATGTTCCTGGGGGGAAGCCAAAGGCACATGTATCTTTGGCTCTCAGTGGCGTTTGTCAGTGAGGCTTAGGGATTTAGAGAAATTCATGGCTGCAAAACAGGCGAGAGGGGGATATGTGGCATATGGGAAGGAAAGTCCCTCCAGCTTCTATAACCCTTGCTGATGGAGGGAGCAGGGAACATTCTTGAGGTTCTAGATATAAAATAGATTTTCTTTCTTCTGGAAACCTGTGCTGATATCATCACGTGATTCTCAGTGAAGGAGAAAGCCATGAGAGAAAGCTCCTTTCCCACTGAGCAAAAGAGTGTGTGGCTGTGTGTGCGAGTGTATGCTTGAGTGTGTTTCCGTGTGTGTGCACACACTGCCAGGCATAACTGTCTCTGGTTGTCATTTTCCCCTTTCCAAGGGTCAGGGCTTTACACAAGGACACCCCTGGGAAAGGTTTAACATTCTGAATGCCTTTTCCTTGGCTGATAGAACAAATCATTTAAAAACACTTCAGGGCGCCTGGGTGGCTCAGTCAGTCAAGCGTCTGCCTTCAGCTCAGGTCATGATCCCAGGGTCCTGGGATCCTCGTCAGGCTCCCTGCTCAGCGGGGAATATGCTACTCCCTCTCCCTCTGCCCCTCCCCTCTGCTCATGCTCTTTCTCCCTCTCTCTCTCATAAATAAATAAAAAATCTTTTTGGGAGGGGGGCAGCAAAGCAAGGTTTATTGAGTGATATAGAAGTGATAGTACAAAGCTCCCGAGGAGGGAGGGGACAGGAGAGGGTTGCCCTAAATAAATAAAAAATCTTTAAAAAATTAGCAAATAGTTAAAAAAAAAAAAAAAAAAAGACCTGGGCTGCAACGGCTTAACTGGATTCCACGTGTCAAGCATGGGCCCTGAAGTGCGACGAGGAAAAAAAAAAAAATTCCCCGCGCACGTTATACTGATATCCCGGAGAAGACCTGAACTATTACCACGTGGAGACACACGAGGGCGCTCTAAGCAAGTAGAGCTCCAGCAAACCAGAAAGGTCGTACAGATGTCAACCTGGGAGGAAAGAGGCATTTGCAGGTCCTTTGTCGTTGTGGATTCAGGTTTTGACCCAGGCGGCTCACCCTTGGCCCGTAAGTAGATGCGAAGAAGAAGGTGCTAGCATCCGGGCCTGTGGGGAGAAGGCCGGGGTGTCATCTTGAAGAGAATGGGAACAATCTGGAAAGAGGAGGATGGTGAACAGAACAAAGTGTTTCCTTACTTTATTCAAGAGGGGTAGGCTTCTGTAATATGAAAGGCTTGGAATAATAATCCCTTGTGATTTTCAAAGCGCTTTCATAGTTTGTGATGATCTCTTTGGCCCAGGCAGCAAGCCTGTGAGGTATGTAGCAAAGACAGTATTTATATCCAATTCACACAGAAGACTGAGAGAGGTTAAGTGGCCTGCCCAGAGTCACACAGCTCAAAAGTGGTGGAGCAGGGTCTGCGCTCCTGCCTCGGTGTCATGCTGCCTTACCTGGGTCTGGTGGGCCAAGGCAGCTTGTCAGCCGCACTGTGCAGTATGGGAATACCTTCTGCCTTCTGTTTCTAATCCAGACACCCTGTGCCCCAAATCACCCAATGTAGTACTCCTTAGCAATAAGGGTGACAGCTACCTGCTGGTCCTGAGCCTTTGGGTACCTGGCAGGCCCTGTGCCAAGCATTAAACGTGCATAATCATACATGAAAGCTCCTAGCA